GCATGGGGCAGGGGAGTGGCGTGGCTGAGGTCAGAGCGTCTGGATTCGCCTGTTCCTGTGCGCCCAGGGCTGTTGGGTGTGCAGACGCGAAGAGCAAACCTTGCAGTGAGCTTTAGATTTGCACCCTGTTTCTATTTTTATTTGGTCTAAGTGTAACTTGAAGACAACTGGGCTTGCTCGGGGCCAATCTCAACAGCTGTGACATCAAACAAATGTAAAACACAGATCCAGCTGCAAAAGCTGCATGAATGAGATAAATCATTGCTGACATTTCCATGGAAGGGGAAGAGGGGGGGTCCCACTGGTTCTGTTGCCCAGCAGAACCTACTGGACAGCCTGGTTAGGCTTGTTCCCCACAATTCCTCTCCTTATAATAGCAGCTGCTACATCCCTCCCTGCCTCCACTCAAACACTCCTTTCCTTGAAAAACCTACCTCTCAGCCTCTCCAGACCCTCTCTCCAAAATCCCTCTGCCGGCACATTGCACCCTGTAAGGCGAAAGCAAGTGAAACAGCAACTGATAAAATGACATCTCTAGACTTGAACCTCAATTTGTCTCAGCATCTCAACTGAAAATCTGATGAGGTTCAACAGATTCTGCAAGATCTTTTGCAAACACAGAATACATGCACATGCATGTTGCCTAGATTTTGCATCCTACCCTTTTGAGAACCCGGCAGGAACATACTCTGATGTAATGACAGAACACTCGGCTTAGTCTGCTGGGTGAGGGTCTGTCTTGGGTGGCGGTCCTCACACATGGGGGTCTAAAGTTCACCTAAGTGGTCATTTGTTGACCTTAGAGAATCATCTTGTCTCTGCATCAGATCACAAATGACCCGCTTGATGACTTAGTGCCCTTGTTATAGCATCTGCCTTGAGGGTAGCAGGCTGCGATTATCAATGTCACTGCTGAGGATAGGCCCTCCCCGGAGGGGATGAAGATGGGCAGAGTCCTAACCGTCTGGGGGTGGAAGGTAGACAGCAAAGACTAGATAAGCCGCAGCCACCAGTAAGAAGACGGTGACTAAGCGGCGCTGGAGGGAAGGGCACGTTCCACCTGGTGTCCCAGATGCTGGGCAGCAGTAGGGGCAGCCTGGCGCAGGAAGAAGATGGCGGGAACAAAGCAGCTACTCTCAGAACTATTTTAGAAGGCTCCAAAGAAGAGCAAGTGTGCCTGGGGCTGCTTTTGTGAGGACAGGTGGTCCCCACGGTAGTGGACAGCAGCCATGAGAGTTTAAAGAATGGGGACCAGGAGGAAGAGGGTGCAGAAGGGTGTGGAGTCGGGCTGGGAGGCACCTCAGGAAGGGAAGGTGTTTCCAGTGGCTTAGGCGAGACGTGAGATGAGCTACTGGCCAGGGGACCAGCGCTTGGGCAGGAAAGGGCTCTGGAAATTTAGAAGTGGGAGTGAACACAGAGCTGGGACGTTGGGAGAGGCTTTTGGACAAAGGTGCTTGTGCCGGGCCTCGAAGGATGGATATGCTTCTTTGTCCATGTTCATTTCATCCTCTTGGCTTTGGCCCATGGTCCCAGCTTGTCAAGGCCACCAGATGAGTCCCCATACAGTCTGCATCCTTGTTCTGCTGCCTGTTCTCTGTCGTGAGCGCCGTTGCTGTGACCCGAGTCCCGTTGGAGGGAGGCTCCTTCTGCGGGAGGCCATTGCGAGAGTGGATGAGGATAAGTCGCTCGACCAGGCCACCGTCTCTCACTCTTGGCTCTCTCTGTTCACAAAGTTACCGTCGGAGACAGCAGCCGTGCCTGCACCCAGCCCCAGAAGGCGAGGCAGAGCCCAGCTCCACGTTGTAACTGTGTCCAAAAAGGAAACCAGCTTTGCCGGGCGTGACTGCCCTGCCACCGGGCCGTGTCGGCTGTGAGGGGTTGTTGTTTACCTTTCCAGGTGCTTGGACACCATCTGTCCGGCTCGATGATAACCAGGCCTGGGGTCTGTCGTGTCGGGGAGTCGTCTTGCAGCCAGGTCCCACTCCCCACCTGCCTGGAGCTCTGCAGTCTGTCCACGTCAGCACACGTCCTCTGGGGCCGTGGACAGGTCCCTGCTCGCTTTCCCGAGTTCTCAGGGCTAGAATGTCTGCCTGGGCCTGTGAGCAGCTGGCCACGGTGGAGGCAGAAGCAGGGTGAACTGTGGTCAGAGGAAAGGGCCTGGGTACCAGGCCTCACAGAAGGGACTGGGTCTACAGCCCGGACACGGTGACTCGTGTCACCGAGAGCTTGTTGGAGGCCCAGCCGGCTGGCTCCTGCTCTTCTCTTCCATGGGCAGCCAAGGTCAGCGTCTCTAAATTGCTAGTTATTCCTTTCTTCAATTAAGGACAATTCTTCTGACGCAGGAAGTTAACTCCCACCAGTTAATCTAATGGCCTTGAGTCCGGATGTGTTTGCTCTGTCTGGGTAAGGCAGGCCCGGAACTTCCTTGGCAGCTGGTCACCGTCGGCGCCTTTGGGAGCTGCCAGGGGGCCAGGCCCCACACTCCGCGCTGGGCACCAGATCCACCTACAGAGGCGGTCTCCGACGGGCGGGGCCGCAGCGCAGGTGTAAAGAGGGAAAGCCATGCTTGGAGCCCAGACGTCTCTGTTCTCACAGGACAGGGCTGGCCCGCTGTCTTCCCACCTGAGAAATGGGCTGGGGAGTGTGGTCCCCAGGGATGATTTCTGGAATTCCTATCAACATGATGACTCCCTGTAACTGTCCTGCCCACCCCTTCCCAAGGTGACTAGTTTGGGGTTTGTGGTGATGGGACTGAGTTGGGGGGCAAGGAGGTCTCATTGGCCACCTGGGGAGCACCCTTTGTCAGCAGGTGGGATGTTTGCCTGTGTCTATGTGTGTGTGAATATGTGCACAACGCACACAGACACAGAGGCATGCATGCCTGCACAGGCGTGTGCACACACACACACACACACACAGGCATGCATGCCTGCACAGGCACAAACACACACACACACAGGCATGCACATACACACACATGCACATACACACACACAGGCATGTATGCCTGCACAGGCACAAACACACACAGGCATGCATGACTGCACAGGCGTGTGCACACACACACACACACACATAGGCATGCATGCCTGCACAGGCACACACACACACAGGCATGCATGACTGCACAGGCGTGCGCACACACACACACACAGACAGGCATGCATGCCTGCACAGGCACAAACACACACACACAGGCATGCACATACACACACATGCACATACACACACACATACATAGGCATGCATGCCTGCACAGGCACACACACACACAGGCATGCATGACTGCACAGGCACAAACACACACACACCCAGGCATGCACATACATACACATGCACACACACATACACAGGCATGTATGCCTGCACAGGCACAAACACACACACACAGGCATGCATGACTGCACAGGCGTGCACACACACACACAGAGGCATGCATGCCTGCACAGGCACAAACACACACACAGGCATGCACATACACACACATGCACATACACACACATACATAGGCATGCATGCCTGCACAGGCACACACACTCACACAGGCATGCATGACTGCACAGGCATGCACACACACACACACACACAGGCATGCATGCCTGCACAGGCACAAACACACACACACACAGGCATGCACATACACACACATGCACACACACAGGCATGTATGCCTGCACAGGCACAAACACTCACACACAGGCATGCATGACTGCACAGGCGTGTGCACACACACACATACATAGGCATGCATGCCTGCACAGGCACACACACACACACACAGGCATGCATGCCTGCACAGGCGTGCACACACACACATACATAGGCATGCATGCCTGCACAGGCACACACACACAGGCATGCATGCCTGCACAGGCACACACACACACACACACAGGCATGCATGCCTGCACAGGCACACACACACACACACACAGGCATGCATGCCTGCACAGGCGTGCACACACACACATACATAGGCATGCATGCCTACACAGGCGCGCGCGCGCACACACACACACACACACACACACACACACACGGCTGTGCCAGGAAGCAGCAGGGCCCTGACGGATGGCCTGTGGTCCCTGTTCAGCTGTGAGCCAAGGGCCAGGCAGGTGTTGAGGCCCAGACGTGTCCCCTCTGGGGCAGGGTTGCCGCTTCTCCCGCAGTCAGTGGTCTGTCTCCTCTGTCACCACTCGCACACCCACAGACGAGGTGGCCAAACCTGGACCTTATCCAGGCAGTCAGGCCTCTGACGCTCCCCCCACTGCAGGGGAGGGTGAGGACGGGGTGGGGGGGGCACAGTGGGCAGCACATAGGCCTGAAATCTACTCCTACATGACTCGGAGCAGCATCTTTCTTAGCCCCCCCTTGCTGCCCCACTCCATTCCCTTATGTTGAACTGGGGGTGCTACAGTATGCCTCGGGGAGTCCCCGGGGGTTAAATGACAGGAGGCACATTACAGAAAGCCCTGAGAATACTGCCTGTCCCGTACATATTCACTGCTCTCCCATCCCCACCCCATCCAAGTACTGGGGAAGGGCTGCAGGGGTCCCTTCCCACTTTCCCAGCTGGGGACAGTGGCACACACTAGGGGACAGTGGCACGCACTATGGGACAGCTCTGGATTTGTGACTTCAGAGCTTCCGAAATTCTATGTCTACTGGAGTCAGGGCTGCCGCCTGGCTCTGGGGTCCAGAGCTCAGGGACTGAGGGGTTCCTGGGAGGTGAGCCTTTCAGTGCTAAAACTAGACAGTTCCTGGCAAACCAGGATGGTTGGTCTCCCTAGGTGAGGCCGCAGGAGGGAGTTTGGACAGAAGGTCTTGGTTTTATTGGACAAGGCATCAGAAGGCAGGGCAGGACCCATGGTGGGTCGCACGGGATGCAGATGTCAGCTCAGGTGAGAAAGAACATTCTCGCAGCCAGCACTGCCCAGAGAAGGAAGGACTGTCGCTGGAGGTGCTGAGCTCCCTGACCATGGACATGACTAGCCAGGAGCTGGGGGCTGCTTAGCAGGGACCTGTGGATGGAGTCAAAGCCCCAGAGGGGGCGCTGGCCTAAATGCCTCCTTCAGCCCCATGTGTGCCCCATGTCCATAGAGGAGCATATGGGACTCTTGGAGGCAGGACCATCGCTAGCTAGCCCAGGGCTGGAATTCTCCAGTGGACCTTTTCCCTGGCAGGTGGGTTGGGACAGGGCGGGTGGATGCCTGGCTGCAGACTGTTCCTGGGCTTTAGCCGTACCAACTCCTGGGAGAGAAGCAGGGCATGTCTTCCCCACAGAGGGCTCAGTGGAGGTTGAAAAGTCAGCTGAGGAACAGTCACCCTCTACCCCTATCCAGTGGCAGGGAGCCAGGCAGCTGGTTTGGGGGCATGTTGGGAGCTGCAGAAGGCTGGTCAGACATCTCCTGGGCCCACACACCTGGCCCCACCTGAGTTTGGGAGAGGCCTGCTGTGCCCTGGGGGGGCCTCCCACCTGGGTCCTTACCTCCCAGGCACCCCTCAAAAACCAGACTATCTCCTGCCCTCTGTTGGGGCTGCACTGTGGATCCCCGCTGCCAGTAGGGAGGAGTCCTAACCCAAATCTCCCCAGCACCGCAGGCCTGCTCACGGAATGTCTGCACCCCAGGCGCGGGAGTGGAGGAGGTACTGCTCACCGCCAGGCCACCGGCTCCTCAAACCCTGCTCCAGCCCAACCTCAGGTGGGATTTGCCTGTGATTTCCGTGTTCCTTTAAAGTCGCAGGAATCCCTTCTATTCCGAGGCTGGGTCAGACCCTAGAAATGACCCAGAAGCCACAGAGTGGGGAGTGATGGCGGGGGGGGGGGGGGGGGGGGGGGGTGGCCCTCGCCTGTCTCTGATCCCAGAGCGACTTCCCTCTTGGCGTCGCGGGAGCCTCCCTGTGTCCCTGACTTCCTCCTCTCCCGCTCGCTCTGCCGCTCCCTCCCGGGCCCGTCCCCGGGTCTCTGGTCTGCTCTTAATCTCTCAGAATGCGTGTCTCTCCCCGGTGGTGTTTGGGCTCTAGGAGTGTCTCTCTCCAGCGCCGCGTCTCTGCGCCCCTGTCTCCCGGTCCACATCCTCATCTCTGGACCGCAGTGTCGCTGGCTGTCTCCGGGTGTCTCACGCGGTCTCCGCTTCGCGTCTCTGCGCGGGTCCGGTGTCGCCGTCGCCCCTGGGCTGCCGCCCCCCGTGCGCTGCGGTGGCCGCGCGGCCGGAGCGGAGCGGGCTGGAGCGCGGCGGCCGCGGCCCGGGGCGGGGGTGCGGGCCCGCGGGGGCGGCGTTGGGCGCCTTCCTTCGTCAGTCCCTCCCCGGCGGCGCGGGGGGGCGGCGCGGCCGCCGCTCGGCGCCTTTAAGGGAGCGGGAGGGAGCGGCGAGGCGGCGGCGGCTGCGGTGGCGGCAGCCGAGGCGAGCGGGGCGGGGGCGCGGGGCGCGGCGCTCGGAGTCCGCTCGGGCCGGAGGCGCCGCAGCGGCCGGGGCCGGGCCCGGGAGCCGCGAGGAGCGCGGGCAGCGCAGCCGGAGCCCGCCGCCCGGGACATGGCCAAGGCGGGCCGTGCAGGTGAGGGCGGGCGCCGGGAGGGCAGGGCCGGTGGCCGGGGGAGGGACCTGCGCGTCCCGAGGAGGGGCCGCCGGCCCAGGTGAGCCCCTCGCGCAGGTGGGCGGAGGTTCCGGGAGGGTGGGAGGGGGCAGTGGCGGGGCCGGACCCCGGCGCCTGGAGAGGGGGCTTCGCGCGTCCCCGTCCTTCCTGCCACCTCGGTCACCTCGTGGGACACCGCGTCCCCCTCTCCATGGCCCCGCTGGAAAGCGCCAGGTCTGCGGTGCCCCAGTCCAGTCCGGCTGTTGGGAGCTATCCGCACCCTCCGGAGGCCCTGGGCAGACCGGGCTCGGGGACCGAAGGGGATGTCCCGCCGCCGCCGCTGCTTCGTCCCACGCCCCCCAACGCAAACCAGGACGCGCCCCCTTGTCCTGCCACTCGCTCTATCCAGGACGCGACAATCGCGCCGCCCCCGCCCCCAGCTCAGTCAGGAGACCCAGATTCCTTCTCAGGAAGGAGGGTGCTCCGCGCTGCGCCCGCTACTGAGCCATCCCGCCCCACCCCCCACCTGACCCCGGGCAGCATAGCCTCAGGTGCCTCGGAGGTCTGAAGTTGGGGCCCCTCCTGGGGTCCCGTGGGCCCTGCCCTCCGCCAGGCGCAGACGGTGTAGCCCGTGGATTGAGGGAGTGGGCGTTAGTCATTCGTTCATTCATCCAGCCAGACGTTCATTCATCAGCATCTGCGCCGGGCCAGGCCCGCAGCTGGGCGCTGGGGTCAGGGGGACCCGGCCCTGTTTGCCACTGGGCCGGCGGTGCCGGGGGAGGCCGGCGTGCGGTAGGCGGCAGCAAGCCTGGTCTCAGCGGTGCTGCCTGCGAGGCTGGTGTGTGAGAATCCCAACCTGTGACGTTCGCAGGTGCCATGCCATCCTAGGACCAGGCATGACAGTGGTGGAATGAGCGTGAATTCACCCGTCCACACCCTGGGCGTGAATACCACCCGCATGCCCGAGCCCTGCCTGGGACCCTGGGCCGGGCCCCAGTCTCCCCGTGCAAGCTCGAGCGTGTGATCTAGGTGCCTGAGAAGGCACTCGGTTCTGTCCCTGGGGAGTCCTGCCAGGGTGGGGCTGGCTGTGTGAGACGCAGCAAGTGAGGAACACATCTAAACACCCCCTTTCTCACTCCCCTCCCCTCTCCCCTCCTGAGGCAGGCACTGTGAGGTAGATGACACCTAGCAGGCTGGAAGAGGCTCGTCACCTCCCTCACCCTCTGTCAAGCCGGGGTCCTTACTCACCTCTACTCCGCATAAAGGGCTCATAGCAGTGCTTGTGTCCCGTCCACCTGCCATGCTGCGAGTGTGTGTGTGTGGGCACGTGTGCGCACCTGGACACTGTGAACACAGGTCACCTCCAGGGCACTGTCATCACGACAGCAGTTAACAGCAATCGCCGCTCGTCTGGTACTAGGTCCTAGGCAGCCTGCTGAGCGCTTTGCTGTGCAGTGATCCTGGGAGGAAGGAAATGTTACTCTCCCCCTTTTGAAACATCTGGAAACAGACACTCAGAGAAATAGTCCCAGCAAGGTGGCCTAGAGGTTCTGGACTCAGAGCCGGATCTCCTGGACTCTAATGATTTTCTCCATTGCTGTCCTGGTAGGTCATCCCCCCTCACCTAATGGAAGTGCCAGTCCCAGCCTGTGGGGCCTTCGGTCCCTAGGTTGAGAGTCCGCGGGAACTTGTTCCAGTGACAGGTGGAGAAACGGCCCTGCTCTGAGCACCGATGCCTCGATGCCTCGTGCTGCTCTAACATTTTGTTTCTCCTGCTGCAATTTCATGCTTGGCCTTTTACCTCCAGGCAACACAGATTCCCCTCCTCCGCCGCCCTAGCTGTCCAGGCTCCTCTCCCATAATGAGCTGCTGCCCCAAGGAGTCTTTTGGGAGCGACCCTGCAAGATCTGACTACTCCTCCCTGTCTCGGGCTCCTGCGCATTTTATAAATGTCCTTTCTCTGCTTTAGGCTCCGGAACCTATCGAATTGAAAAGGGCCACACAGTAATGTGTACGTGGGAATCACATTTCCCCCCCACTGGCAAAATCTGTGGGGAATAAATTAGTGAGCTTTAGAAAATAGGGAGCCCCGGATCAGGAGCCCAAGCCTCTCTCTTTGCAGCTGGGGAAACTGAGGCCCAAGGAGGGGATGTAACACAGAGGGTTGGCTATTCAGTGCCATCTACCTTGAATGGCAGCAGATGGGCAGGAGGGAGCAGGCCTTCACTCTGGGGGCTGACGCTGGAACGAAGGGAGGCTGAAGGCCAGGAGTTGAGGCTGTAGGGGCCTGGCCTGTGAGTTAGGGGTCTGTTCTATGACCTCTGAAGTGTTCCCTTTGAAAACTGGCCAGTAGGTCACCTGCTCAGGGAAGAGGTAGAGGTTTGGGCCCCAGGGCTGCCACGAAACCTGACTGCAGGTCATCACACTGTGGCCCAGTGAATGGCTCCCCTGCAGTTGTGCAGTGTGCAGCCTGAGCAACTAGCCTTGGCTGCGCCAGCAGTGTCACACGGGAGCTGAAGGGAGGTTTTCATGCTGCCAGGAAAGCCCAGGTATGAGAGACAATGTAATTAGGTCCCAGAGAGGATGAGAAAAATGTGCAGAGGGTGGATCCAAACGGGTTACTACCGGTTCCCAGTCTCCAGGGAGATTTCATTCACACAGACAGGAATCGTTACGGTCTCCCAATCTAGCCCGAGACAGGGAGGTGGGGACAAGTGTGGGGGACAAGGGGAGGATTTAGGAGCTCTATGGAGGAAGTGATAATTTACAGTGCAGAGCCATCCATGGGGCGGAGGAGGCCAGTGAGTGGCTTGAAACAGATGGGCCTTAGGTGGCCCCTGGGGAGGTCCCCAGGGGCGGGGAATGGCTTGAACAAAGGCGAGGAGGTTGTATGGGAAGGGGTGCACGTGTAAATGTGGGGGGCTGCTAGGGGTGGGGGATGAGGGTGGGCAGGAGGTGCCCAGGGGGTGAAAAATGTGTCTGGCGGGGGTGGAGGGTCCCTAGACAGGTGTGAGGGGCTCAGAGGCGCTGCGGAGAGTGCGGGAGAGGGAGCGGCATGGGGAGATTTGGGTGTTTCGACAGGTCCCTCTGGTTGCCACGAGGGCTCCTGGGAAGCTGGAGAGAGGCCAGCCTGGCGGAGCTGCCTGTGTAGGGAAGGGTTTGTTCTTGTTCCTGCCAGCCAGGCTGCCCCTCCCTTCCTTAGCATGTTCCTGCAGCTCTCCCTCTGCACCCCTGCAGGCTGGCTACCCTGGCACGGTGGCACAGTGCAGGAGGGAGGCCCCAGGGCCCCAGGCAGGGCAGGAACACAGCGGGCAGCCCAGAGGGTCTTGGAGCCTCAGAGGCTGCGGTAGGAATGTTTGTGGAGACAGAGCCCAGGCCACAGGGCTGGGTCTTCCAGGCTGGAGGAACCAGTTTATGGCACTCCCAGGTGTTGGCCTCGCTTGGCGCTTGGCGTGTATCAAACCTAGTCATCTCAGTCAGTGAAATGCTGATCCTACAGTGTCAGATTGGGAGGGGACGCTTCCAGCTACTGTGTTCAAAGCCCTCCTTAAAGAGGGGACACTGAGGCCCGAGGAGGGTTAGGCATTTGCCCAGCATCACAGAAAAGGAGATGGCAGAGCCTGGGTTTCCAAAGCCTGGGTTTGGACCTTGCTCTGCTGAGTTGGCCTCCTTTGGGGGTCCTGCTGGAGGTGGGCATGTGTCCCCATACCGTCTCAGAGCCAGCTCTACTCCTGGACCCTTGCTCTGTGCCTCTCGGGGGCAGGGACCAGTGGCTGGATCTCTCAGAGGAGGGAACACGGGGAAGCTTGGAAAGGGGACCAGCGCTGGGATCCTTCAGACTTTGGGGAGGTGCCAGGGGATTTGAGGCACGACTCTGAGAAACTCACAGGCCCGGGGTACCAGGATTGCTTTGCTGTGTATCTTGGGAGGGACATCGCATTCTGTAAGGGGATTGTAAACTCACCTTCTCTGGTCCCCAGCAGGAAGGCCAGGGGCAAATCAGACACCGGTGTCCAGACTCCAGGCTTCCTAAATGCCTTCCTGGGCTTCCCTGCAGTCCGGGCTGTGCTGGAGCTTGGGCACGTCTCGTGTTCCCATGCAAATACGCCACCAGCCCCTGTGGAATTAC